ATACAAAAAGAAAAAACTAATAATAATTAAAAAGCCTAAAAATATTAATAACTAAATGGTACCCAACTGTCAGCATTTACCTATTCTAAGAAACTGTCATTAAAATATTCTTCTATGCTATAGTAACACTTGTCAATTAATAATTGTTTTAATACATGCTTGAATTGCATTCCACTAAGGTTTTTTATTGCGTCTGGAATTTTATTAAATATTTTGGGTGCCATATCAACAACGCTATTTTTGTATAGGGCCGTTTTACATATATTTCTTCAGATCATATATTTCCTGGTACGAAATAAGTGCGCTTGTGAACTTACTTTTTCTGGAAATTCACTCAAGTTCGTCTTAACAAAGATACATGCCTCAAAGATGTACAGACATGGGAAGGTTAATAATTTTAGGTCACGGAAAAATGATCGGCAACTGTCAGTGTATTTAATGTTGCATATGGCTCTGACACATCGCTTTTGGGCTCTAAATATAGTTTCTCTGTAGAGTTACCCCAGAAAATCACACCATACCTAAGGATAGATCCAACAAAGCCGTGGTAAGCCATTACCACAGTTCGGCGGTCCGCAGTTTTCGACAATTTGTAGAGTGCATAGCTAAGCGTGTATAGTTTTGCACAGACCTGTTGCGAGTGAGTTTTAAACGACATGTCCCTATCTACAGTTATACCTAAAAACTTTGTTACATTTACTTTTTCTATAACATTGTCACCACATTTAACTTTTAGGTCAGGTAGAGTCATTTTCTGATTAAAAACCATAATTTTAGTTTTATTAGTGTTGACTTTTAGGTTGTTATTATTCATCTACGTAGCCAGATGGTCAAAAGTAGAGTTTATCTCGTTTAGGTAATAATTGTGGTCACCGTTTGTGTTTTCAATAATTACGGTGCTATCATCAGCAAATAGTATCATTGGATAACCACAGCTGCTGGGCATGTCATTTATATACATTAGGAATAGAAGAGGTCCCAATATGCTACCTCACGGAACACCATGCTCTACAACTCTACACTTCGATTTGTACTGCTTAACCCAACCGCTGTTGATACATACTTGACTTAGCTCTGTGTACTGCTGTCTGTTGCGAAGATATGATTGATTAGGTTCAGAGCAACTCCTCTTACTCCGTAATTATTTAATTTTTCTAGCAAGACCTTATGCTCTACATGATCAAACGCCCTGGACATGTCCATGAATACTGCACAGGTAGGAATTCTTTGGTCTAGTTTCGTTACAGCCCTACGTGTTAAGTCATAAATTGCTTTATTTATTGACATATTTTTTCTAAATCCTTTTTGCTCAGTGATAATAATCTTGTGCTTTTCTAGGAACGAGTATAAATTGTTGAGTATAACTTTTTCAAAAATTTTGGAAAATATTGGAAGTAAAACCACAGGTCTGTAGTTGCTAATATTTTCCGCGTCTCCCTTTTTGTACAAGGGCATAAGCTTTGCAAACTTCAAACTGTCAGGAAAAACTCCCGAGATAAGACTCAAGTTAATTATGTGACATAATGGTAGAGCAATGGAATTAGCCACATATTTTACAGGTATTGTGCAAATATCGTCATAACCTACACTATACGTATTTTTTAAAGATAATATAATTCCTAAAATGTCATTAGGTATAGATGGACAAATAAATATTGAATTCGGATTTATTTTAATATTTATGGGATTACTATGGTCACTGTTATTGGAGGCTATTTGGTCTAAGAAATACCTAGTTGTTAAACTCATTAGCAATTCCCAAAGGATCTGAATAACATCGATTATTATAATTAATTTTAGCAATAGGCTCTTTGGGATAACAACACTTACTACGATTAATTATCTGCCAGGCTGCTTGGCATTTGTTTTGAGAGTTACATATGAATCTATTGTTGTGACTGCGCTGCGCATTTTGAATAATTCTTTTAAGTTTTTTCGCATAAGATTTCAGGCATTCTAGATTTCTGGTGCTTTTATTCTTTCTGTATTTCCACAGTAGATTTCTTTTGTGTACACAACTCTTTTTTATGCCACGTGAAATCCATTTTGGCTTTTCTTTGAAAGATTTCCTTAAAACTTTGTGTGGGAAACATAGATCATAAAATAATCGGAATAAGCTCAAGAATAACTCGTATGCCGTATTTACGTCATTACATTGAAATATTTCACTAAAGCTCAATTTTTCAATGCATTCCCTAAATTTAATTAGGTTTGCTTTAGAAAAATCCCGGGTCCTAACTCGCCAGGTTTTAAGTATGCAGGTTTTTTTACTGGACATACTAATAATTTAGCTGTGTGATCAGATAGAGTTGTGTCGATGACTTCAGCTTTAGCTATTCGTATGCAGGAAGCAAAATTATCTATACACGTTCTACTACATATTCTTACCTAGAATCTATCAAGTAATTGATAATTATCAGTAAATAAATAGTATATTGTAATATAGTATTGTAATGTATTGAAGTTGTTGTTGCGATGTTTGGTTTGTTGTAAACCCTTTGTTCAATATTATATTGCGACAATGTCCGATAGAGAACACAGGCGGAGACTGAAAAACAGCACTATGCTGAAGCTTCGTCTTTTACATTAACATAAATATTAGAAATAGAAATCAGAGTCGAGAGTAGTAGGAGAGAGAGAGTAGCTCATAGTTTATTATTACATGTATCATGTGATTTTCTATACATAATGAATAAAGTCCTATTTATTTAATTTTATAGGATTGTGTCCTTTGTGGAACACGAGCGAGAGAGACCAATTAGCTCTCAATGTAATGATAAATATGATGCACAGATGTAAGTAGTTACTACATACAAGGGATGACGCGATGCGTTGGGCCAGTAAAGGACTGGGAGTGGGGGCCAACAACTAATGATATTTTGTTTACCCTTCAAGGGACGCTAAGATAAAAACTTGTAAAGACATAAAACACGTGTTTGTTTTTTAAATAATTGTATGGAATCGGTTTGATTGTTATATTAATTATAAAAAAAGGTCTACTATAGTCTACTATTGAGGTAATACGTAGTACTTATTACCTCAATGACTATAGGTGATAAAAGATTCTAATTAGGATTGTTTACTTGAACTCTTTTTTTAAACAATTGTCTTATAAATAACCACTCTACAAACCGCCAGTAGATGCGGTTTGTAGACTGGTTATTTATAACAAAAATTTGAAATTAATTTTAATAATAATCCCTCTCTATTAAGATTTGATAATTAAGTATCTCCCAGATACAAGAACAGGTAGTTAGTAGGTGTACACTGAAACGTCCAAGTGTAAAGTAACTGAGGCCCAAATGTGTATTATAACTCGCCGTGCTCTGAGCGTTGAACACATTCACATTTACGGAGCAACATGGCCTAGTGGGGACCACCCGTGGGGTGGGCCGCCCCTCTATTTCCCAGAAGGGGATAGGATAGCCTACCTGCCAACAATGTTACTTACACCATCTACTATGGAATTATTTTTAGACAAAAAATTTTAGGGTCCAATTTTTTTGCTTTTTCTAATTGATTACTCGTACCCAGTTCTAGCTGCATTTAACCTCAGTCAAATAAAGAGAGTTGCTAAAGATCCATCCAGGCTATTGTTCGTTTGTGGATTTTTTTGTTATCATTTTCGACCGATGGCCAAATTAGTTTTTGTTTTAAGTCTGGTACAATCAGGAGCACACCAAGTTTGACACTTTGGACCTTCTTATCGCAAGTGGAATAGAGTTGAATTTAAATTTGAAATGTGAAGACTTTTCGAGTTTTTGAGTTCAAAGTTTCGATTCGATGATAGGAATATTCTTAGGAAATGAAACTATTTTTCCGAATTTAAATCGCGTATATTTGTTTTTCAAACAAACCAAACGTTTCGGGCCTTTACAGATCCCATGGTCACAGTTGACTGAGGTGGTACAGTCATGAACCAGTTATGTCTAATATTAATGCAAACCACCCTATTTTTTCACTGTAGTTACAAAAGTTATTAATTGAATACCTTATTTTTAATTTTACAAGGAAAATTTCAATTTACGCTACATTACGTTTTACAAATTACGATACGAATATTCTTTTTACCAAACATTTAACCATCTCATTAAGGAACGTACAAATAACGGAAATAATCCTATGATTTAGCCAGAAGTTTTTTTATTATACCAACTGACGGAGCGAACAAGTCGTGCGCCTGGTGGTAACTGACACGCCTATCTATCACAGTTACAGACTCACTCAGAGCTTTAAATCGCAAAGATCTGAGAGGCTCTGCCACTGTGCCTGTCACCCTGAGTTGACAAGTTCCATGAACCTGTAATTCCACCAGCACCCTTACTCTTCAAAATCGGAACGCAGTAATGATTTCAATTGCTTGGCGGCAGAAATAGATAAGGTGGCAATACTTCCCTGGACGAACTTTCACAAGGAGCTCTGCTGTTACTAACTACTATAATAGTAATTGTTAGTGCGTATTAATCGAATTCTAATAATTGCCTTGTCAAAAAGGTCCTATGTATGTATCTATTTTCGGATAGCGAATTTATTTTAGTTTAAACGCGACACACACGTCCGGTACTCACTCGGTTTTAGGGTCCACTGAAAATCAGCGTCACAGCCTTGTCCCGGCGGTGACATTAGCTGAGTGGATCCTATTACATACGCCACAGCCGCACACATAACATCTACTTCGTACAGCAATAGTGTTGACCAGTTTTATGATCGAATAATTATTTATTGCCAAGATTTTATTTTTAATTAATTTTATTTAGTTTTCTTTTTTTTTGTTATTCATTTTCTGTTTGTTTTAATTTAGTTTGTTTTAAGTTTAATTTAGTTCTGTTTTATTTTAATTTTTTTTTTACTTTTAATTTTTACTGTTTATTATTGTGTTGTGGTGTTTTGTAATAAATGTATTCTATTCTATTCTATTCTATTCTATTCTATTCTATTCTATTCTATTCTAAAATGTTTTATATAATCATATACGTATTATTGTTTCTTTTTACCTTTAGCGTTCCATAAAGAGGAGCAACTGCTAAGCCATATTAGCGTACACCTCAAGTCTTACAGCACTGCAGACGAGGATATGTCTATTCACGACATTCAAGACGAGCCCATGGGAATTCCGATACTCGTAAGTCCACAAAAACATCAACTTATTCTTCTGACACCTAGCGACATGTTACACCTAGTGACGGGTCAAACAAGTCATGCGCCTGATGGTAAGCTGCACGCCTGTCCGTAACAGTTGCAATGCCACTCAGAGCTTTAAATCGTAAAGATCCGAGGGGCACTACCACTGCGCCCGTTACCCTGAGACATAAGTTGACAAGTCCCATGTGCCTGTAATTACACCAGCACTCTCCCTTCAAATCCGGAATACAGTAACATTGTAACAGTAACACTGACATTACTGCTCGGCGGCAGAAATAAGTAAGGTGGCAGTACTACCCTGGACGAACAGATACAACAGATTTGAACTCAGAAAAAGATATTTAATTTTTGGATAAGTGTATTTAAGGTCAAGGATACTTTCATAATCCCTGACTACTATTAAAACCTCTTGTAAATCCTTGTACGTTCTCGCAGCCAGTGGACCCTGCGAATCTTCTAGCACCCCGACTGAATTACAAATCGGAGCGGCCGCACGAGTGTCCCATCTGCCACCGCAAGTTCAAACGGAAGCAGCATTTGAAGGTCCACGCCAACGTTCATTTGAAAATTCAACAGCCTATCCTCGCACCTACAATATGGTGCAGCTTGTGTCAAGAAGGTAAATAATTAATACGAATATAAACACATTTATCTATCTTGTCTTTTTGCTCTATTTCATTCGTGGAGAACTTTAGGAATTCGAGCCTCTCTGTAAATGTATCAACCTATGTTATTTATACGCAGTTAGGTACGGGTCACGTTTAAAGTAGAGGGTATCCCCCTTTTTAGGCTGTAAAAGTCAATATATCTAAAGCGTGCATTATTATTTCTACTGGGGTAAAATGCGACTACCGAGCTCTATTTGCTTATTCCGGACACCACTCGCATTAGTTTTTTCGTACACACCCGTTTACACTTGTGACTCTTGACCTTATCTCTTTAATTTGCTGACACCTTCAATCTGTTTGAGATATGTACGCCCTTTTACAATCGACCTTTCCCAATGTTTCCTTCCACTATATCGTAGTAACTTTATTATACTTCGCTTGACTGATAGAAGTAGCAGCACTTTTTAAAACAAACGTTTATATATATATATATATATATATATATATATATATATATATATATAATTTTATATATATGTATGTTGCAGGTTTCCACAACAACTCGCAATTCGAAAACCATCATTGCCTGCCCTCTGGCAGCGGCGACGTCGAAGAGGATCAAGTACACACAAACACACCCGCCGACGCTAAGAAGGAAAACAACTACCCTGAGTTTATTGAGGTAGGCACCAAAAATAATCAGAATAACATACAACCTCCAACTAAGGATATGTTCCTAGCACAAGAGGAGAATTTTCTTAGCATTTCTTAAAAACAATCTTAGAACAATACCACTCGCATACCACTATGCGGTGACCGCAGTGGAGGTAAAGTAAAGATGAGAAATACAGGTAGTAGTTGTATGAAATTTCTACAAGTTCAATATTAAATATCTCCTAATAAAGGAATTTAGAGTACGTTAGCAGTTAGTAACGTCAGGCCGAAAAGTGCCCTATTTAATAGATAAAATAATATTTGTCAGCGAAAAATGCACGATGCGCATGTTTCCGTCATGAATGCAAGTGCATTGACCTGATGATGTTACGGGTGTTCCAAAATGTGAATACATAACAAATTCTACTATTTACTAAAATTTCATACAATCAATATATTGTTAATGGTTTTTTATAAAATTGTAATTTATACATCTGCCATATATACAGGGATATGAGTTTTAAAAATTCATCAGATTATACTTTTGTACAAAAATAGAAATCTCTATTTCCAGGTAATAGATGACAACATGACCTACATGAACCAGCCAATCATATCGCTCCTAGAAGAACAGAACATCCCCACCCCGCAACGGGTGTACGTCTGCAAGTTCTGTTCGAAGCCGTTCAAGAGAAAAGATCATTACAAGATACACCTGCATATACATACTGGAATCAAGTCTTTCTTTTGCTCTGAATGTGGAAAAGGTTAGAAACATTTCTATTTTTTTTTTAGCCAGAGACCTGTCATGAATTAAAAAAAATACGTTCATATTTTTGTTTCTTTTAAAAAAAATATTCGAAAATTTAAAATTTCCATCTCTTACCAATGAGGTAGCTAGTGCCAGATGCAACTATGTAGGTAACTTTAAATTATCAATTGTGTAACGTACAAACTAGATACGAGCCAAAACCCAGGTCTCAGGGTGACGGGCGCAGTGGCGGTGCCCCTCTTGCGATTTAAAGCTCTGAGTGGCACTGCAACTGTTATGGACAGGCGTAAAGCTTACCATCAAGCGCACGTCTTGTTCGCCCCGTCAATTGATATTGTAAAAAAACTACTAGTGTAGACACGGCCAATACAGTGTGTAACTTCGTTTCACGACAATATGGTACATTTATTTGAAAGTCAGCCAACTGCAAAGCTGTGTAAACCTTATCGTTTCTACAAAATAAATTTAATACTTATTTAAATGGAAAATAATAAAAGAGTAAAGTTGCCGATGATAAGAGGCGGCGCCGACCTACTCTTTTGTTTTCTTCTTTTATTTTTTAAACGATATGTTCTATATTATAGTGCGTTTGGCAAAGTGCGTGTTGCGTTGCGCGACTCCGCATGCTGCATGTTTTAATTTTTTATTTACAGAAATATAACCTTGTCTCGTAGAAGATTAAGTTTATGTTACATTCCTCATTTTAATTAATCGCAGCGTAGCGTTTTAGTGACTCTAAAAAAGTTCTAACTGTGCGACAATAATGATGTTAAATTTATTGTCAGGTTTCTACCGCAAGGACCATTTACAAAAACACGAGCAAGTTCACCAAAAAAACAAGAAGAGTCCAGGCACAAAGTCCAAAAAAGCTTTGCCAGATCTCTTCCCTATCAAGATGATGCCCAATACTGTGAAGAGACCTGGCCCGAGTAGCTCAAAAGATGTGAAACCGGAAATTACTATAACTGTAAGTTATGAAACAATAATACAGATAAAATCAAAATAAAAGGCGCTACAAAAACCCGAACATGGGAGATCACTAATAAGTATATTAAGGGCAATCTTTCCTGCACAATCTTCACGCAAATGAGAAGTTAAGGGTGTCTTTAAATTAGACGCTTGTAGGACACTGCAGTAATTTTCATACAATATTTAGAAGTGTAGTAGCAGCGCCAGTGTCGCGCTTCTACAAGCGATTAATTTGTAAAATGTCTCAGCGGTAAAATTTCCGGGCAGTACTTCCTGAATTTGACTCCCAGAAACGACGAGTAATTGTATTTTGTGTGGTGTTCTTAATAGGGTGCTTGTTACCAACATCACTACGGGCGGACATTGATCTTTTGCGAACGCCACTAATTACAGCTCGGTGCCCAGGCAAACAAAATTCAAGGAATGTTATATTTACCACCTCCGACTGGGACACACGTTTGCCCAAAAGTGAGTTTTATGTACCCGTCATAGGGCAACATTGGCTTAGGAGATACAAAGGCATCTCATCCGTATTTTCTCAGTTGGCGTGAGGTTGTATGTACAAATCGTAGGCGAGAGTAATTTTTACTACGGAGCGTTTTAAACAGAATGAGGCTGTTAATTAGCATTTCAAATCTCTTAAAGTCAAACTAAAAATGTGAAATAAAATTACTTAAATGTCTTTTATCATCTAAAGCAATATTTGTAAAAACATTTGTATTCCAAAACATGGACTTAACTTGTGGTCCTTTACCTCTCACCTACAAATATAATGTGTTTATCTAAACCACAGTGTCCCGTAAGAGACGTAGTCAGCATTCGGAAATTATTCCTGCCCAACACTTGTCTCTTTACAGCGTATGGTGCTGTGGTTTTGAATATTTGAGACTATTGGCAGATGTCTCTGGTGTCACCTATGCGTTGATCCCGGAAGATGAGCTATACAAACATTTATCTACTCGTTTAGAACACTATTCCAACCATTGATTCTGACAATTAAACGTTTTCTGTTCCATAAACAAGACAGGTTGTTGCGAGACCAAGAAAATGGTGTTATTTGCTTATATACTTATTTTATTTATACAGGCGCCCTCAAATACAAAACTACGAGTGCCGCTGCAGATCAAAGTGCCGTACCAAATGGTTGTCGCGATGGACAACGGAGAGCAGCACGCAGTCACCATTGAACCCCATAGTGGAAAAGCGCAGGATGTCGATGCGTAGCCTTCGGTCCAACATCCCATACATATAAAGGAGTTCACAAAATCATGAACAAATTTCAAGAGGTAAACCTACATATCGATACCTACCTGCAACAACAAAAACATTACTTTTCATACGAACTTGGATCAACTGTTCTATCGACGTGTACTTCAATGATTTCAATTGTTTTTGACACCCTTATTAATATAAAAAGGAGCAGAATTAACCTCAAACGTGTTAACGCAACGCAAGAAAAAGCGTAGGTAGAGGTATGATTTAAATTTCAACATTTTGACCTCGTTTTTTCAAAAAAAGATTTTTTGCACATTTCATAATATTATTATGAATGTGTCTGCAGTGTATATTAAGAATGCCAAGTACCACATTACGTCACATTGGGTCCAAAAGAGAAATAAGAGTTATGTGTTCTTACTATGGAACCCTAAAAACAAAATACTTGATAATTAGGTAAGTAATTTTCATATTTGAAATAAGTAGTACATATTAAAATTGTACATATCTTTCAAGAATTTATATAACCTCTTTTGATCTTAATTTTTTTTAAATTTAGAGCTAGAGATTTTAAAAATTTATAAGGTGTTGTTCTTCTTTTTTCTTCGTAGTCCTAAGCAGAAATTGATTTGATGAGATTTTGCGTACAAAATGCTAGTTTCGATTATTCAAAATACAATTATGTGCTGTTGTATGCAATGAAAGGGGTGACATTTTCATATAATATTGTTATTTACGAGCGGGATAAAAGCAAACAAAATTGATTAAATTTGTCATAAATATCCATTTTGCGCATACATATATTTATGAGTACATATATATGACATAAATTAACATCAATAACGATATAACTGAATTCAAATATCTTTATTTCATTAATTTGTAAGTCATTATAAAATACACAAATTAACAAATTGTATTGATTATATAAAAAAAATCTGCTTACGATAAACCTGCGTTTGTCACATTGCATCAAAATTTTTGAAAAGTTCCTCAAAATTTATCTCTAAATTTGTGATGTTACGTGTAAGAATACTGTAATACAAAACTGAGAGTACAAAATAAAAATATTTTGCACATCAAATTTTTCTTTTTACTCCACCAACGATTTCCGTTTCACCAATTTCTTAAACTAGTTTTATTTATTTAGCCAAAGCTCATTGTATTGGTTATAGAGCAATAAGCTGACAATAAATAATGCAAACAATTAATAAACTCAAAACATAATATACTTACTAAATATTAAAATGTGAAATCTTAAGTACAAACGGCACCTTTTATATTTATTTTTCTCTTAAAATAGTATTTTTTATTAGTTCTGAGAGTGGTTCTGGAATGTCGATATCAAAACTCAATATTGACAAAGTATATGTGTTTAAAGGATAAGTCATACGACTTATCCTTTAAATCGGTTTAAAGGATGTCATACGACTTATCCTTTAAACCGATGATTCCCATAGTGGTCTATATCGACCCCCGGACGCCCGTTATGCGTTTCACTGCTGGGCGCGAGTGTCCTTTAAGGAGACTCGTGCAATTGATTGACAAACTGACCCAACGCGGTTTGGAGTACTTGCAGTAGGGCTAACACATAAGGGCGCGAATTGGGCGGGATAAAAGCAAACAAAATGGATTAAATTTGTCATAAATATCCATTTTGCATATTTATGTATACATACATATATTTATGAGTACGTATATATAACATAAATTAACATCAATAACGATAAAACTGAATTCAAATATCTTTATTTCATTAATTTGTAAGTCATTATAAAATACACAAATTAACAAATTGTTTTGATTATAAAAAAAATCTGCTCACGATAAACCTGATGATAACAAAATGATACGCAAGATGCTAACCTGTTGTGCTAACCCTACTGATTTCATCACGATATTTTCTCTTGTCGTTAACGAGAGGTATTGCTACTCCCGGCCTGGGAATCAACCCATCACCTCTGCGTGGCAGACTAGCATGGTAACCACGAAGACAGTAAATATTTCATAAATGTCTTGGAAATTAAATCCATGTGCAAGGGATTCGAACCGTTGACATCTCAATAGAGAAGCTATCCCACTGGGGTATCACCACATTTATGTGGTCTGTGGGTACCACCATTCTTTAAAAACATAAAGACATACGTCAACGTAAATTAGTTGCTCTCTCTACTTGCACGATTACAAAAGTAGTTCATTCGGGCAGGCTCGGCTCTGCCATGACTATCTTTGTGTTGTTCACGATATCGTTTTCTCATATAGTGGAATTTATTTTTTGATTTTAAGTAAAATAATGTTTTTTGACTAGTTAGGGCTCGCCGTCGCTCCCATTGCTGTGCCGCCCGGGGCCATGGCTCCCTCTGCACCCCCAAGCTAGACACAAGAAGTAAATGCCGGTTATTGGTTAAAATTTTGCAACATGGCGATGGTCCGTCTAATTTCCATAATTAGTTTTTATTTTAACACATAATAATAAAGGTACCTAAATGATTTGATCTACCACCTCGCAAACAGAGAACGTGGGTTCAAATCCGGGTTTGCACCTCTGAATTTTCGAAATTTATGTAAGAAATTTAATTACAAATTTACCATGAGCTTTTCGGTGTAGGAAAACATCATGAGAAATCCTGCACACGTCTGCAAAGCAATTTAATTATGTATAATTCCCAATCCGCATTCTGTGCGAGTGGGAATTACACGCCTGTGCCCTCCCATTGTAAGAGGGGACCTGTGCCCATCAATAGAACTATATAATATAGGCTAACTTTTATTTCATTATATTTTTGACACATACCATACCAGAATTCAGACCAGTATTTTTTTAGCAATGCTCCCAATCACAATAGCAATGTAAAGATATTACCAGAAACCGTCACTCACTCGAGCTTACGCGATAAATGCCTACCGCTGAATGTATCGCCAGCTGTGCAAGCGCTCAGACAATTTACATTACTATCCTTGTACTATCCTAGCGTATTTGGTTCCGCACGACTGCGCACGGCGGATAACGTTATTTTCAACTTTCTAAGCGCGCGCTTAGTTTCCTTTTTCCTCTTAGTGAGCACCTGAAGTCATTTTAGTATATAGGCTATTATAGCGTAGGTATTTTCGATTTTGTATGAGAGCGATGTATCTGTTACGTAGTAACTATTAAATAATCTGTGATAGTATTACTATTACTCATACTTTAATTATGTGGTAAAATTTTGGTAGGTGCAGTACTACACTATTCAGAATTGTAAATAAATGATGTAAATAAAATAAAACAATTGTTTTGCCGGAATGGTGGGAGTTTATTTACAAGGAACGCGTTGAAAACAATGGAAGCACAATACATGTATTGGAGTCTACGTCACCGAAAATATTACGTCCTAGACAATACATTACCAGGAATATGCGGAAAAGTTACATTAAGTTTTCTCTTTTATAAATCCAGTTTTATAAAATTAAGAGATATATACACGTCCATATTGTAATGTGGTGAATAAGAATAGTTCCTTTTTCATACTTATAGTTTTGTACTTCAAGTTATAAATACTTTGACATCGACAAATAATAAATGAACAATAAATTTTATTTATAAATTTAAATTTTTTGACTACAAAAATACATTAAAATCTACTATTTGGGCCTATCTGAATCTACTACTAGCTACAGAATAGTATTAATAAATTTATATTATAATAAGTAACTGCTATTTAAGTTATACGAAAAAACGTTTCATAATTTATATTACATTTTATTAAAAAGCGTACTTAGGTATATTACCTATATTTTATTTTAATAATGAATTAAAACTTACTTTAACATTTTTAAAACAACGTAATGCCCAAAAACATTAATTTAAAAAGACGTAACACTTAAAATCACCAACATTTTGTAACAATTTCAAAAAGAAAAATTTAATAATTTTTAATCACAGTAAAATTCACCAAATCACACTAATAAATGAAAACGTCTAATTTTAATAATAATGACTGATATTTCTATCGAATGAGAATGGGCTCATGAAGAAACACGGAGATGTCATTTAGATGATAAAATCATTGTTTGGAGTGAAATAAATTCATAATCTCTTTACCATTCAGATTACGCTCATGATTTTCTTAACATTGTGTTGCGATTATATTACGATGGTATGTCACGTTCCTGTTTTCATACAAAAGTTGAAAATAGCGTCTAGGTAAATGTTACTTTCCCACTAAAATTAAAGGTAAAATGAGACCAACAACAATGATGTATGCTATAGCTCATTACAGATTTTATGACTTTCGTGTTTACTTATAAATGATTATCAATAATTACAAGTTTCTTACCACGGTATGATTTCTTTTTATATTCCCGATATTTTGAAACGGTGGTCACGGGTCGACTGGCCAGCGGCAGATGACAGATTCTTAAAGCTACTTATAGTATAATTATTAAAGATGAAACGGATAGTGATTTGACAGGACACCGGATGTCCTAGTCGCCCGTCTAGGCCGGATTGCCGGATATCAAGCCGCCGGATATATGACCCACTGCCGTAAACATGTCGCGACCGGTTAACAGCGCGCATCGCCATGATTGATTGATTAGTGAATAGTTGCACTTTCCAATTGATGATTTGATTTGTTGTGGTCACTTGCTTTTTATAAAAGCGATTAATTTATTCGGTAATAGGCACAAACAAATATTTACATCACAGAAAAATATTACAGTAAAAAAAAGTGCAAATTCGGTAATATATTAATATCAGTGATATTTGTTTGTTGTGCCGAATGCAAATTTCTCGCGGTGGAGAAGGAAAAAAGCAATAACATCATTCTTTGGCCATATTAAATTATTGTTATATATCTAGTTATTACAAGTATAAGCCTAGCACTTGATACACCCGTTATTATTTTGTTTCAATTTGATTGCATTAATTTGTTTGTGATCTAAGTAATTCTAAGTATGGATACCATATTTGCCAAAAAAATGTTTAATTTACTTATACGTATTTCATTTGATCGTCGGGCAATTAAAAGTTATACTTAAAATTTAACAAAGTTTGCAAGAGTTTACAGTGAAAACTGTACTCTGAAACTGGTCTCGTTTATGAAAATAAATAGAATCAACTTTTACCACTTACTGCAGAACAACCAATCTTCCACCATAATTTACCTTTATTCAAATTTGAGTACTAAATTTACAGATAACGTTGTCTAATTTCATAGTTCTTTCAGTTTCAAGTAATAAATAGATTGTCAACGATCCTGTAGTTGCTGTATATCGTATTACTATCGTCTTTAATCCAGAAATCAAATTATTTGGCGTACCTACTACGATTATGAATTTTTCTCAGTTTTAAACGTCCGGTATCCGGCCGGATCCCTATTGTCTGTTGCAACTTCATTAATTTTTCATTATTCGAGACAAGCTAAGACGTCTAATTGGCCATATTGCCAGATCTTACATTGTAATTTTTCTTCAATAGTTTAATTTTCTGACATTTCGTTGTATCAAACAGTTGTATCTTAAGACTCAATTTATATTGCGCGGGAACGGAATTCTCGCGCATACTCGAGAATGCTCGCGCATTCCGCGAAAGATTTTGCCTCGTATCTAGTTTGTACGTTACACGATTGACCATAAAGTTCATTATGCATAGTACAATTCGTTATAAAAATTCGCTGCCATTCCGTTCCGCTGCAATATAAATTGAGCCTTACGGTAGCCATTGAAATTCGATAACAGCTTTAAGAACAGATATGATATTTGTCTTCAGACATGATGAAGGTACTCATCGAAAGCGAAAGAGGGTTCTTTCGCTGTCGATGAGTACCTTCATCTCGATTACTTGTGGCGTTACCATTGTCACCCCCTTTTTTCCGACAAACCAAAGTGAGTATGAGTATGATGGACACAATAGTATCGTATATTTATATATCCACAAATGAAACCCTGACGTGTAAACAAAACAGTGAGGTTCGAGCGTGAATATGCAGGTCTGTGACATGCCACCGTAAAAATTCATAATTTAAATGATTCCAAACAACTAAGCATTTGTCTAAATAACTGCGCTATTTAGATGCGTGAAAGCACTAACGACACAACCTCGTCGGTGCATTCCTAGTTCAATAAACCTCATCCCCACTCACCATCGACTTGGGCACGTTTAAAACGGAACGTCTTTTGCAGCGGCGATGAGTGTCATCAGATCGTTTTTATCATCGGGTCAGGAGGGCTCCGGGGCTGGTGCGGGTGCGGGGGGAGTAGCCAGTGGGGGAGAAGAGTCTTCCCCCTGGCATAGCTCGGCTTTCACGCGCCGAGCGATGTGCGAACGGGTGTGCTTGCGTAGGTGATCTTTGCGGTAGAATCCTTTTAACGAAGAAAGGTCGAAGAAAAATTGTGTAAAATTTCAAGTTACAGAAAAAGAGTTTAAAAAATTAATAGGTAATTTTGCCCTAGTTTTTAAAAACCTTGCATAACACTTTGTATATATGACAAAGCATAAAATATAAAATAATATTAAAATGAACTTAAAAACTGATTTATTGCATAGATGTTATTAGTTTTTTTTTAAAGTTTAATGCGAACGAAAGAGAAGAGGTTGAGGGAACAACTCTGAATATTGTTTTAATTACTAAACTGCCTTTATGAGTGTACGTAAAAAAGAGAGTGCAATTATACCTTTTCCGCATTCATTGCAAACATGCCGCTTCTCCCCCGAGTGTATGACAAAGTGCAGAGTGAGTTGCTCCTTTCTCTTGAAGGCCTTGAGGCAAACCGAGCAAACGTGCGGACGCTCCGGGTTGTGTGATTGCTTGTGACGCGTCAGATGGTCTTTGCGTTTTAACGCCGCGTTACAAATATCGCAGATAAACCTGATAAATAGAATAATATTTAAAAAATCAGTAAAAGCTTTTTTTTTTAATGTAAGGTCACTATTCAATATCAGTCACATTCACATTCAGTCAGGGTCACGACTCAGGTGCCAGCTGGAAATACCGTAGACAAGGCCACAGATGGGGTAGAAGGGTGCTTGAGTAGAGACCCAGAGATGGATACAGAAGCGTAGAAAGTCAACCGAAGCGCTGAACTGACAACCTCGTCAAAGTGGTAGGGAGAAAATTGGATGAGGAAAGCATAGGACCGCAAGGAATGGCGTGCATTGAAAGAGAACTACAGGAAGCATTGAGTGGATAGCGGTTGATAAAGAAGTAGAAGATGGGTCACTATTCACCGCACTCAAGACTGTTAAGTCGACTTCATGGCAACTATGGATCGCGACGTTGCCGAAAAGATGCTACTTGTACGTACATGCAATTATTTGAAGTTCAACTACTTTTATAAGTGATATGGTTAACTGTTAAGGTCGCAATCCATTGAATAGTGTTGTTCACTTATACACTACAGGAAGCATTGGAGTGGATAGCGGTTGATAAAGAAGTAGAAGATGGATCACTATTCACCGCACTCAAGACTGTTAAGTCGACTTCAGGCCAACTATGGATCGCGACGTTGCCGAAAAGATGCTACTTGTACGTACATGCAATTATTTGAAGTTCAACTACTTTTACAAGTGATATGGTTAACTGTTAAGGTCGTAATCCATTGAATCGTGTTGTTCACTTATACATTTTCAGCAGTGGCCAGTGGCCGAGTCGTTCGTTTATACAATTAGATATGGTGGATCTTTTTACATATTTTGTATTACACTATAAACACAGCAAGAATTCAACAGGCTGCTATGAACAACATATGTACGAGTATATTTTCATCTACTTAGCCTTTTATTTGTTAGGGAACAACGTCGTTTGAAAGGCTATTTTTTGCAAAGGTACCTTCTTTCCATGGTATGTCCGACAAGATGCTGCTCCAACAATCCTCTCTCTGGATATGCCATGTGACATTCTGGACAACAATATAGCGTGCTGCCATCTGCAATTAAATGATTAAATTTAAAAGTCCTCCCAGCGGGATATTCCGCAAACTTCAAAAGAACAGATAATTAATAAAATACAATTCACATTCAAATTATATCGCTCTTTGAGTTGAAATTAGTTAGCTAAAAGAAAAATACCAAGTGCAGTAGTGAGTCGTATTTCTCCCGGCTTAGGTCTCTGTTTCTTCTCTTTGCCCTTCTTCTTTTTCTTCTTCTTCGAGACGATGACCGTACTGGCAGTATTTATGGGTGAGTTGCTTTCGCTTTGATTCACAATCGTTGCACTTTGTACCACCACACTGCTTGCTGGCACCTAATAACGAAATATACTTTATGTTTCGCTTAATAAACACCGTATAGTTAACACATTTTTTATCTTCTTGCAATACGACCATCTTTTAAGGATGCGATTATGGGCTGTACTCCAACTGTTTTGCGGATGTTGCTGGTTAATTAGCACAGCGCAGTGGTGCTTTTTACAGCTTATGACTTCCGGCTGCTTTGAAGCGAAATGGTTTCACAGCCCCGCACTAGGGAAACCCTGTATCGCGGGTGCCATGGACACACATATAGACAACCATAAAATACACCCCAATACACGAGAGAAATAAATGTAGGCCATGCCATTCTCTCAGCCCAGGAATCGAACCTGGGACCTCTACGTAGCAGACCAGCATGGTAACCGTTGGTTGTCTTCTAAAATGTTGTCATGGGTTGTCTTCTAAATGATAATCCATAAAAAAAATCAACCCTTCACACCCTTATTAAGCTTTTAAACATTTGCCTTTTAGAAATAAATTATACTCTCCTACTGTAAAGTAATGTCATAGTCCCCTGACGTATTTATTACAGCACACGGGAGAGAAAAATTGATTGAAATATCTCTAATAACAATCGAATGAAACCGATTTTTCCGTAGATGAACATAGTAAAAAATAAAAATATTGAGGAACTTTGTAATTTTTTTGCCGACCGAAGTTTACTCAATCGTGTTTCGAGTCCCATTCACTACCTGTATCTTCTGTTCTCATTATCCATTGTTAAAATAAAAATGCGTATTTTTTAATGTCGAAAAAGCAATTTTCCTTGTGGGCATAATGGTCTATCGGCCTATTTTGGGTCTCACTTTAGCTTAACGCTATTTGAAAATGTTATTTCAACTTACTGTAATAGCGGGCACGGTAGCAAGTGAATTGGTGGCGACTGTTACTATAGTTGGTTCGTTCTTGCCTTCCACTGAGGACACGGGTGTGGAATACTTGAGAAGATGATGCAAGGGCAGAGGTAGCGCGGAGAGATAGTCTGTTACACCACCGGTTAATGTCTGCCAGGTGGAAGAGTCGGTCACGTCGCCAATACCTGGGGACAGAACTGTGTTGTTGAAGAATTTTAGAGGCGGCTTGGTGCGATGAGAAGGTAATTTCACAAATGATGTACTTATTTTTGTTTTACGTTGGTTTGCTTCTAATTCGTTAAAGCAGGAAAATGGGAACGGTAAACTGATAAAGGTTTCCATATTCTTGTTTAGATAATAAAGTGAAGTCAAGGGAGATTGTTTGTGTTGACTATGATAGACTTATTTAGCTTTGTGAATTTCGTAGAACAAAAAATTGGGTTTATGATGGTGAAGGTACTTACTTATATATTCATTAGCGGTAGCATTAGCATTTCTGTCAGGTCGCGTTTCTTGCTTAATCGCGCGCGCGATGGCGGCAGCCTCCTTCGGCTCATGCAGCACGACTAATAACTGCTGCCCTTGTTGAAGGGGCGTTGCTTGGGTTACTATTAAATAAAACGTTACTTCAAAGATAATATTAATATCGATGGTGGAAATTTGGAATGTCGTAAGGTACATTTCGCTGTAAGGGAAAAAGACCTCACAACAAAAAGTCTGTTAGGACATTTCAAATTTCCACTGTATCGACAGTAAGCAAGGGTAATAATTTTGTCGAAGTATCATATTAGGGGTTAAAGTATGAAATTGCCGTTTTATTGCAATAGGTTCTTTGAATTTTCATAGAATCTTCATGGTTTGAGGTTTTCGAATGAAACTTTTTTCAAATGGTTTCTGTGATTTTTTTTTTTTAATTTGAAACATTTGAATATCGACTTTCAATTGTTTTTGTTATTCAATTTAGACAAGAAAGATGGATACTGCGAAAATTCGAGTGATTTTTGAATACGAGTTCCGACGCGGAACTAACGCGGCAGAAACAGCCCGCAATATCAATGCTGCGTTTGGAGAGGGGTCTACTAATGAACGCACCGTGCGATTTTGGTTTAAACGCTTTCGTGATGGAAATTTCAACTTAAAGAACGAGCCACGAGGAAGACCGCCCACACAGGTGAATAACGATGAATTAAGAGAGATAGTGGAAGCCGATCCTAATCAAACTACCCAGGAATTAGCGGCTTGGTTTAACGTTACCTTACCCACAATATTGACTCACTTGCGTCAAATCAATAAAATAAAAAAATACGAAAAATGGGTGCCTCATGATTTGACTGATCTGCAGAAAGAAACGCGTGTTGAAACTTGTGTTGCCTTGTTGAACCGGTACAGAAATGAAGGAATATTGGATCGAATTGTAACATGTGATGAAAAGTGGATTCTTTATGATAACCGGAAAAGAAAATTGCAATGGCTGACCCCAGGTCAAATGCCACAACAGTGTCCTAAAGCAAAACTTACCAATAAAAAGGTAATGGTAACTGTTTGGTGGTCTCAGCATGGTGTTATTCACTATAGTTTTCTCCGATCTGGTCAAGCAATAACGGCAGATGTCTATTGTGCCGAACTCCGAACCATGTTGACAAAACTAGCAGTAAAACAGCCCCGACTCATGAATCGATCTTCACCATTATTGCTCCACGACAACGCGAGACCTCACACAGCACGAGAAACCATTTTGACCCTTCAGGAACTGCAGTTAGAAACCATTCGTCATCCTCCGTATTCACCAGACCTTGCTCCAACGGACTACCATTTTTTTCGTGATTTGGACAATTATCTACGTGACAAGAAGTTTTCTTCCCAGGAGGCAGTACAAAATGCTTTCACACAGTTTGTGCAGTCTAGATCGTCGGAGTTCTATCGCAAAGGCATTAATAACCTTCCCATTAGATGGCAGCAATGTATAGATAATAATGGCAACTATTTTGATTAAATAAATTTGTTAAAAATTTAAAAAATAAACAATTTAGATTTTCAGTACAAATCGGCAATTTCATACTTTAACCCCTATTATTTTGGAAAGTCGTAAGCGACATTTTGTAGTAAGGAATATTTCCATTACGACAAAATATTCCTTACGACATTTCAAATTCCACCATCGATATATTAATATACTGGTGTGCTGGTGTTGGATGTAGGTACGAAAGGACGACGTACTATTCTTTTCTTGTTTGCCCAGGCAAAATACGGCAAGTACCTTACGTCGATTGGCAAATCCTTTCACTGCGATGACAAGCATTATAGTGTATGCCATCGATACGATAAGGAAAAGAAAAATAATATATATTTTATTGCCCACGCTAATATTGTACACAATAAAAATTATCATTTTATTATAACTTTTTTTATTAAAAATTGACCTCAAAAGTTTGTGGAATTATATATATTTGTTTAATTGAAGGTTAACGGAAAGTGTGCGTAATGAAGTGTAATCCAATAAACCGGATGCATCCCCTAATTTGCTACCTGAGGAATGCTACCGTTTCTAATCAATTCACGAATGTCGGAGTAATCCCGTAACACATACAAACACACACAAACACACACACACACACACAAATACAGTCGAATCGAGAACGTGCTCTATTGGCAGCTTCATTGTTTTAAGCAACTTTTTATACAAGTTTTATTTACGAAACTGGAAAATAGTCAAGCCCTAGTTCAGTCTAACGACTACAAAAGCATAGTGGATGCCCTCGGCAAGGAGCACATAATAAAAGTGGAGCCTTCTCCGTGTCGGTCGGAGCACGTCTCAAGAGCCCAAAGGTATCGATCGCTCTATTAAATATTTGCCCGGGAGTCAAAAAGCTTGTCGGAGATTTTTGTTTCACATCATTAAAAAGTATTTACCCTGATGCTGCTGCATCATAGTAGCCATAAGATCATGATGTATCTCTTCTCTCTTCTCGGCTTTTAACTGCTGAACGCTTTCCGCTTGCACATAGCTCGTCTGCCCGCCGTAGGTGATATTGCCCAGGTTCACAGATGATGTGGACGCTGAGATTGTTTGGTATTTAACGCCAGTGTTCACTGTAAAATAAATAGATGTGAAAGTCCTTCAATCGGGTTCCGGAATCAATTTTATTCGTGGCCTAACCTTTTATTGGGCATTGGCAAAACAGTGGCCAACTAATATATTTTCAAAATTTCGCGCCAAGCGTAAGTTTAGTGTTCTCAACCACCGTAGCCATTTTGGTGTCTTCAGCCTAATAACCGTAGTCAATGTTTTTTCTCGCTTAATATACCCAATATCATTGAAATATTGTGATTTGCTTAACTAACCAATTAGACAGGAAGTCTAATGTATTAAAAACATTATAATATAATACCAATAGTCGTTGAATATTAAATTATCATTTTTTTGGGACTTTATGCGGCGGATGTGTAACCTCGGTCCGCACGACATTTTTGACAAATCAAAAATCTACAAATTCTCCGTGTAGAAGGTAAGTAGGTGATGTTTTTATTGTTATCTATGAAATTTTCTACCATTGTAGTTATGTATTTTATAATAAAAATGTCACTGCTTCTGGATGTTATCATACATCAAATTCCAACTTGCCAATGCCTGGAATTACGTTATTGTTGTGGCAAAATACTTACCAATGATTTATTGTAGTCTATCTTTTTTAGATGGCACATACGAAGAAACTTACTCTCAAAGTCAACTGATTGGCTCTAGAGCTTCCCGATGAATCTAATTCTGAAGATAACATTTGCGACTACGATTTGGATGACTACGAGATGTCTACAACAAATGTATTTTCAGTACCATCCGAAAGTATACCGTCCTCATTAACTCGCATTGTTCAAGCCCTGAGTATTTCAAGCAGCTCATCCAACACAACATCAACAGCAATAACGTCAAATTTTGAGTAATATCACATGTGATTGACACTTACCTATATCTTCGTATGTACTTAATTTTTTATTAGGATAAGTAAAGCATTTTTTTTATGTTGAACTTTACTGATTCTCGAAAAATATGGCATAATTTTGACATTGATCTCTTTATCCAGTTCTTATGTTTTCGCGATTGTTACACATAGGAAATGAAACTATTTTTCGGGATTATTTGACGTTTCGTTCGGGCTCTTTGTTTGAAAAAAAAAACAAATATACGCGATTTAAATCCGGAAAAATAGTTTCATTTCCTATTGATCTCTTTCTTTTGTGATAAAATGTTACACTAATGGTTCTAACATTACGCAATTTATTAAAAATATGACTCTTAAAACCAAAATTAATTTGTTTGTATTTTTATTTCTGTTTTATTTATATATTTTTCATTTACTACATACAGTTATAGGCAATTATTTTGCCATTGAATAGATAAACATTCTGTTATAGGCAACGATGTTGCCACCCCCCTTAAAATATTCAGTAAAAACCAAAATGTTCTAAAATAATTTTTGATAACATTAAAAATAATTTTAGAACATTTTGGTTTTGGACTGTGGTAACAGACTGCATATGTACCGTAAATACCTGGTTAAATATTTCGAAAAAATATTTTCCTGTAGTAATCAACCAGAAGCAAGCTTGTGAACTTGGAACACGGATGAAGTAAAATCGACTACGTAGCCCTATCGTCTAAGGGATCGAATCATTTTTCAGTTGTCTAACTTTTTATTCACGAATAATAAATGTTTAATAATAATAAAATAAATGTGAAAATTAGATTTAGTATAGGTATATAAATAAAGTAGATAACGTGTATGTATAAAAGCAAATATTTTTTTAAATTTTGATCCTTATATTTATAAGTAGGTATGTAAATACGATCTCACCAGTATGAATAGGCGCGAGACCGGCTAGCGTAACAGTGCCGGGCTGCGCGGCGCTCACTACGACTACGCTTTCGGCCTGGCGGAACTTGACCCCGTCCACAGATACGTTAGTAGTCGAGCCTGGCGCGACTGCGAATTGCACCCCGCCGCTGCCAGCCTGGTAGCGCGTCTCTTGCACCACCCCGCCATTACCACTGCCCTCATAGCCAAACTTCGCAGCGAACTGATGGATTGTCGGAATCGCTGTCGCCGTCGTCGGTAGATGCCCCGTAAACGGAGCGAAGTTCATTGTTCCCCGACCTCACTGCAAACGCAACACTTCTGTACCATATGGCCCCCATCGCAACTTCACAAGTCACGTGGAAAATGTGTGTCAGCGGGCAGGTGTGGACGGCAACACGATGAATCAAAGGGTGCGGCCCCTACAGGGCGCTCACCAACCCCCGCCATTACCTCACCCCAGCGTCTGTCGCATTTCAAGCACTCTATTTTTACCGGCCCACGTTCTCACACCATCGCCTTCGATGCCACATTGACTAACCTCACAGATATTGAACACAAGGATGTAAATGTAAAAAATTGGATATTTACCTGGTTTCCGATGAGATTAAGTGTTTTCATATCTTTTTAATTGTTCTGCTGAGGTGAAATACGGTTTGCGAGGGATGTCGGAGTGCGCGGTAGAGATGCGCGGAACTAAGAGCGCAGGCGCGGCGAGTTGCTCAGCAAAGCGGGTATGGGGCCAGCGGAGTGGGTCGGGGCGGACGCTACCACGCACGTGTATGTGGCGGGACTTGTTGAGGCGGTGTTTTCTGCTCAAAGTCAAGATTGCCGTGCCGAGGGTGAGGGCTACACCCGGCGCGATGAGATAGGTCAGTTGGGAGACATTCCGCGTTACGTGCGCGATGCAAAGTTATACACGCGTCGACTATTCTTTTTTTAGCTTTTAACTACACTTTTTGTACGTACGGGTGAAGTCTTCATCGATGTTACTTCCTCTGTAGGCACAGCTAACCCTTTCAAATTTTATACGCACGTGTAAATCTGCTGCCGATGCAATATTCTGAATATGTTCACTTAATGCTGCCGCTAAAAGTCTTATCAGACGGTTTCTTGAACGTTCATATTGTGTTCATTTTGGTACGCTGAGTCTTTTTATATGCGTACTGATCTGAAACTAACGGTGAAGTCAAGACTATCCGTTGACTCCTGGACTCCACTCTCGCCTTGAAAAGGTCCAAGTTATAGCGTTCGGGGAACACGTCTGCAGGCAGGGAATTCCACTCCCTAGCCGCTCGCCATACAAATGTGGAAGCGAAACGCTTCGTGCGAATCCGGGGAAAATCCACAACATAGGGGTGGAACCCCCGCCCACGTCTAGTCTCCCGATGATGGAAAGGGGAAGGCGGAATCAAATTATGCAATTCCATCGCACACTCTCCGTAATATATCCTGTAGAATACCGATAAGCTGGCAACTTTAAGGCGGTGTTTAAGGCTCTGCAGCTTCACCTCTACTAGTTCCGAGTCACCTATAAGCCTCTTAGCACGCTTGTCTATTGAGTCCAAGGTGCCCAATTGGTATTTAGCAGAGCCATCCCATAAGTGGCAGCAGTACTCCATACACGACCGGACTTGTGCTTGGTACAGCTGAAGCAACTGTCCCGGTGTGAAGTATCGCCTCAACTTGGAAAGGCCAAGCTTCTTGGCTGCATTTTTGGCCACGGATTCAATATAACTGCCGAAGTTCAGATTGGACGACAGGTTATCGATATGGATATATCACGAAAAGTCGGTGTTCGGTGAAAGGGACTCCGTTTAGTGGAGAAAAGACACGCCTGCGTTTTGGTAGCATTAAGTTTGACAAGATTGGCATCGCCCCAATCGGAGACTGCCTTAAGTGTCAAATTCAAACGACTAACCATGGATTCTCGACAAGACTGGATTTCTTCTCCACTGACCCTTGCATTGGTCAAGTACCTGTCCACAACTGTGCTGTCATCGGCATACCCGAAGGTACCTGGAATCAACATATCGTTTATGTGCAGCAGAAAGAGGGTTGCGGACAGTACATAACCCTGAGGAACTCCGGCTATCGCCCTAAGTTCGGAAGAGTAGTCTTCTAAGACCACTCGAATCGAACGTTCGCTCAAGAAATCCGAAATCCAATTGCAAAGGTCTATGGGAAGCCCATAAGAAGGAAGCTTGCTTAAAAGGCTTACGTGCCAGACCCTGTCAAAGGCCTTAGAAATGTCTAAAGACGCTGCAACGGCTTCGCCATGTTCGTCTATAGCCTCGCTCCATAAGTGAGAGGCATAAATAAGAAGATCCCCAGTAGGTCGCCCTCTTCGGGATCCGTATTGGCGATCACTGAGGAGATCGTGGTCATCAATGTACGACAAGGTCTATAGTTGACAGGGTCAGCTCTGCTTCCTTTTTCACACACGGCACTGGTTGCACATTTGCAAGCTTCCACGACCTGGGAACTACACCAGTCTCAAGCGAGAGGCGATACAGGCGTGTGAGTATAGGAGACAATTCAGGCGCACAGTTACGCAGGACTATTGCTGGAATTCCATCTGGCCAGCTAGCTTTATGCACGTCTAGCGTTTGGCGTATGCGAACGGCGCCATAGTGCATCCAGTCTGAGGTAAAGAAGGTGGTAGGTATCCTGCGGCATCCAGACGCGAACTCTCTGCAAAGAGTAAGGCGAGAGATTCGCCTTCTCTTCCGCAGTGTGGGCCAGCGAGCCGTCTGACCTCAGCAGAGATGGTAATGAGTGGCTACTAAAGTTTTTTTTCGACTGTTTTGGCCAGGGACCAAAAGGACTTGCTGCCTGCTGGAAAAGATGCAAGCTTGGCCCCTACGCGGCGCACATGGTCGAACTTGGCCCTGCGTAACACACTTTTGCTCTTCTTGGCGGCTTTATTAAAGGCTTTCTTCAGATTCCCAGTATTCGGAGCTTTGCGTAGTCGAGCATCTGCCCAAGCTTGGTGCGCAGACTGTTTTTATGCTTCAGCACGACTACAGTCAGCGTTAAACCATGGACGAGCTTGGGGTCCACTGGGTACATCGAAATATGGTATATAATACTCCATGCCCAATCGCAAGACCTCAACTACAGCATCAGCACAGCTCAACGAATCTCCTGAAGTGAAGCAAGCCTGTCAGGGATATGAAGCAAAAAATGGCGCATTTCGTCCCAATTTGCTAATCTGTATCGCCACACACGTCTCCTACCACTGGGGCCCTGATCGAGTGGGGAGTATACGGATACAGTTTTCACCAGACAGTGATCAGAGGTACCCAATGGTGCATCCACAACCACCGAGTATATAGGTATCGGTCTGGATCAGTTGTTGGCAGTAGGTCCAAGCAATTAGCCGTATTAGCCGCCACAAAATGGAAAAACTCGGTGCCTCAAGGTTCTTGAGACGCTTGACATAGATGTCATAACGAAAGAACACACAGACTCCGGCACGAGGTAGGAACCTGCGCTCCAGAGTATATACCCCTGTGTAGCTGAGGTACGCCATGCCCGTCGGACATCTGATCTGCGTCTTGGTGAGGAACTGCAGCTGCGGTTTATCGGTTTCCAGGTGGTGGTGGACCGCTTCGATATTTGAGTGCAGCCCTCTGATGCTGGTGAGGTGCACTTTTAATGGGAACGTGCAACCGCTGTGAAAAATGTATTCCTTTTCTATGACTCATAATTTTAAATTGGAGAAGCGAATAGGCAGGAGGAAGGTAGTTGAACGAGGCATTGCGTCGAGAACCAAGCAGCAAACGCACACTGCCACACGAAGGTACAATCGGCTTGGAGTCCGCGGGGAAAACCCGAAACTGTTAGGATATATACACACATCAAAAGTGTCTAGGGATCAAGTACGTTTAAGAGTATTGCTGCAATTAGGGTTAATTATATTAACTTTTTTGTATCGCTATTGATACTTTTTAGTGAGTTTTAACATTTAAATAAGGAATATTGTTTAAAATTCGATAATAAGAAGAAAATCGATTATCAATGTGGTTTGTATAAAAATGAGTTATAGCGTTTTGACAAAATCATTACAATATCTGCATCGGAACCTAAACAATTTACATTATTATGGAGAGACGACATCATTTAACCCGAGAAGTGATGATGCGAGCCGTCGGAATGTTGGAAGCTGGTTCCAGGCAACGTGCTGTGGCTTTCACTCTTAACACTACACAGAGCGTCATAAGTCGCCTCTGGACGCGCTATCGCATGACGGGCAGCGTGGCCGAGCGACATGGAGGACGATCTCGCATCACGACTCGCAGACAGGACCGGTATATCCAAAATACTGTTCGACGGAATCGCACCATGACCGCCATGATGTTGGTTACGAGGCTCCACAGCTCCTCAGGCTTGCTAATAAGCGATCAAACAATCCGAAATCGTTTACGTGAAGTGGGTCTGCGATCCCGAAGGCCGCTCAGAGTTCCACCTATTGCACCCTGCAATCGCAGGACCCGTTTACGATGGGCTCGCGAACACAGAAACTGGGAGGAAGAAGACTGGCGCTATGTGTGTTTTTCGGATGAATCCCGCTTCGGTATGAGACCGGATACAAGACGTACTCGAGTTTGGAGAACATCTGGACGTCATGAACGTTTGAGATATTGTCAGGAAGTTCATCCATATGGTGGGGGAAACAATAATGATATGGGCCGGTATTTGGATCGGCGGAAGAACCGATCTCATTTGGATCAGGGGTAACCTCAATGCTCAAGTTTACGCAGAGAGGATTGTTTCAGATGTTATCATCCCTTTGCGAGGCCAGTTGGGTGATTCATTTCAACTAATGCATGACAACGCACGTCCACACACGGCTAGAGTCGTAACACGCATTCTTGCCGAAGCTCGTATCAACGTTCTGCCGTGGCCTGCTCAATCGCCAGACCTCAATCCAATTGAGCACGCATGGGATATGCTTCAAAGAAGAGCTGTGCCGAGTATGCATACCGTACATACTCTACAACAATATTTTGACTTGTTACAAAACACATGGGCGGCCATTCCTCAAAGTGATTTTGATGAACTCATCTTAAGCATGCCAAATCGCTGTAATTGTGTGATTCGTGTTAATGGTGGAAATACAGATTATTAATTTTCTTATGTTTACAATAAAAATGAGCAAAATCATCATTTTCGCCATTTTTTTGTCATTTAATTGACGCCGTTAATTTGAGTTTTTTTCCACAATTTGCAAAAACATCAATTTTAGTTTAGTTTAATTAAATATCGGGGTAAGCGGTTAAATAAAACATAAGCATTAAAGTAAGAAGTCGTCCTGGAAGACTGGATTTGGTAAATATTGCTTAAATAATTTTTATTTCAAAAATATTCACTTGATCCCTAG